TGCACGCACGCACACACACACACTAACCATCAAACATAGTGCATCGAATGTTCAGTTGCAATGCTTTCGACACCCATCGACACCCACAGACGGACGATGCTCTACACAAACACAGCCTTTGCCCCTGACAAATGCATATAGTGCTATGGAAACAGACGATGTGAACAGAAACAACTGCAACTTACTATGTGTTTCTCCTTCGGTTGGCGTGAATGTATGTTTTATCCATGCTTGGTTCAAACAATAATGTTCGGAAATATGTCTACCCCATGTGGACACCAACAGACAGAATAGTCCAAAGTCAATCAAAAGATAGATTAATACAGAAACTATGATAAATGATAAATTTGGAAAAAAAACGAATCAAATCTAAGTTTCCAGAAAATCATTTGCACGTTTGGAAACAAATTCATTCACTCATAATTTATTGACTGGCTTGTATGCCACTCATTGCAATCAAAACGGTACAAAAGATTGGCTGGAGCCAGCAAAGCTGGCACTCCATGTAGCTGGAATATTCTATCTGTTGATTTTGAATCATTTTGCATATTAAAACATACAGCAAAATGTGGTTGATTAACGTCCTTTTATCAAACAATTTGAAAAACTCTCGCAAAACGCAAAACCAACATGAAACATGCACACACACACACACTAACCCTTGCTAACCATGCCTCATCAGACATAGTGCATCGAATGTTCAGTTGCAATGCTTTCGACACCCATCGACACCCACAGACGGACTGCTCTACACAAACACAACCTTTGCCCCTGACAAATGCATATAGTGCTATGGAAACACACGATGTGAACAGAAACAACTGCAACTTACTATATGTTTCTCCTTCGGTTGGCGTGAATGTATGTTTTATCCATGCTTGGTTCAAACAATAATGTTCGGAAATATGTCTACCCATGTGGACACCAACAGACAGAATAGTCCAAAGTCAATCAAAAGATAGATTAATACAGAAACTATGATAAATGATAAATTTGGAAAAAACGAATCAAGTCTAAGTTTTCAGAAAATCATTTGCACGTTTGGAAACAAATTCATTCACTCATAATTTATTGACTGGCTTGTATGCCACTCATTGCAATCAAAACGGTACAAAAGATTGGCTGGAGCCAGCAAAGCTGGCACCCTATGTAGCTGGAATATTCTATCTGTTGATTTTGAATCATTTTGCATATTAAAACATACAGCAAAATGTGGTCGATTTACGTTCTATCCGAAAAACCACCGCAAACCAACATCAACATGAAACATGCACGCACGCACACACACACCTAACCATCAAACATAGTGCATCGAATGTTCAGTTGCAATGCTTTCGACACCCATCGACACCCACAGACGGACGATGCTCTACACAAACACAACCTTTGCCCCTGACAAATGCATATAGTGCTATGGAAACAGAGATGTGAACAGAAACAACTGCAACTTACTATGTGTTTCTCCTTCGGTTGGCGTGAATGTATGTTTTATCCATGCTTGGTTCAAACAATAATGTTCGGAAATATGTCTACCCATGTGGACACCAACAGATAGAACAGTCCAAAGTCAATCAAAAGATAGATTAATACAGAAACTATGATAAATGATAAATTTGGGAAAAAACGAATCAAATATATTTTTTCCAGAAAATCATCGGCACGTTTGGAAACAAATTCATTCACTCATGATTTATTGACTGGCTTGTATGCCACTCATTGCAATCAAAACGGTACAAAAGATTGGCTGGAGCCATTAAAGCTGGCACTCCATGTAGCTGGAATATTCTATCTGTTGATTTTGAATCATTTTGCATATTAAAACATACAGCAAAATGTGGTTGATTAACGTCCTTTTATCAAACAATTTGAAAAACTCTCGCAAAACGCAAAACCAACATGAAACATGCACACACACACACACCTAACCCTTGCTAACCATGCCTCATCAGACATAGTGCGTCGAATGTTCAGTTGCAATGCTTTCGACACCCATCGACACCCACGATGCTCTACACAAACACAACCTTTGCCCCTGACAAATGCATATAGTGCTTTGGAAACACACGATGTGAACAGAAACAACTGCAACTTACTATATGTTTCTCCTTCGGTTGGCGTGAATGTATGTTTTATCCATGCTTGGTTCAAACAATAATGTTCGGAAATATGTCTACCCATGTGGACACCAACAGACAGAACAGTCCAAAGTCAATCAAAAGATAGATTAATACAGAAACTATGATAAATGATAAATTTGGAAAAAATCATCAAATTATTTTTCCAGAAAATCATCTGCACGTTTGGAAACAAATTCATTCACTCATAATTTATTGACTGGCTTGTATGCCACTCATTGCAATCAAAACGGTACAAAAGATTCGCTGGAGCCAGCAAAGCTGGCACCCCATGTAGCTGGAATATTCTATCTGTTGATTTTGAATCATTTTGCATATTAAAACATACAGCAAAATGTGGTCGATTTACGTTCTATCCGAAAAACCACCGCAAACCAACATCAACATGAAACATGCACGCACACACACACACACCTAACCATCAAACATAGTGCATCGAATGTTCAGTTGCAATGCTTTCGACACCCATCGACACCCACAGACGGACGATGCTCTACACAAACACAGCCTTTGCCCCTGACAAATGCATATAGTGCTATGGAAACAGACGATGTGAACAGAAACAACTGAAACTTACTATGTGTTTCTCCTTCGGTTGGCGTGAATGTATGTTTTATCCATGCTTGGTTCAAACAATAATGTTCCGACATATGTCTACCCATGTGGACACCAACAGATAGAACAGTCCAAAGTCAATCAAAAGATAGATTAATACAGAAACTATGATAAATGATAAATTTGGAAAAAATCATCAAATTTATGTTTTCCAGAAAATCATTTGCACGCTTGGAAACAAATTCATTCACTCATAATTTATTGACTGGCTTGTATGCCACTCATTGCAATCAAAACGGTACACAATATTCGCTGGAGCCAGCAAAGCTGGCACTCCATGTAGCTGGAATATTCTATCTGTTGATTTTGAATCATTTTGCATATTAAAACATACAGCAAAATGTGGTCGATTTACGTTCTATCCGAAAAACCACCGCAAACCAACATCAACATGAAACATGCACGCACGCACACACACACACCTAACCATCAAACATAGTGCATCGAATGTTCAGTTGCAATGCTTTCGACACCCATCGACACCCACAGACGGACGATGCTCTACACAAACACAACCTTTGCCCCTGACAAATGCATATAGTGCTATGGAAACACACGATGTGAACAGAAACAACTGCAACTTATGTGTGGTTCATTGACAATGTACGGAAATAGCTGTACCCCTGGGGAAACCAACAGATAGAATAGTCCAGTAGATAAATCATACAAAAATATGCAAAAATCATGATAAAGGCGAATTTGGTCAAAGTTTCCGGAATATCATGTATGCCTCTGAAAACCCTATATATAATTATATATATACACGGATTAACAGATAGAATATTCAATACTGCAACGAAACAGCAAAAACTATTCTATCTGCGAGTTTTACTGTCAACGTGTTTTTGGGTTATTTTTCCATTTTAATTTACCCGAAAAAGTCATTGATATTATTCTATGTGAAATTGAACGAAAAATCCGTAAAACATTGCATATATGCAGACAAATCAACAGATAGAATATTCCCAACAACATCAAACCAACACTGCAATATAAATCTTTGAGACAGCATGTCCAAACCTGTTATCGAATTTGCACGAAACCCTATATATATATACACGAACCCACAGATAGAATATTCTAATATTCTATCTGTGATTTGCACCTGCAAACTCGGAAATTTTCGTTTTTGAAGATTCCCAGAAGTCTTGGATAATATTCTATCTGCTAGATACTTAATATATATATATATATGTGATCCGCCGTCAAAATCAATTGTTGATGCTTGGTAGGAAAATATAGGTTATGGATTTTTGGGGGGTCCCTATCGCTTTACAGTGTTTATTCAAATCAACACTAGATAATGCAAAAATGCAGCGGGATTGGCTTCACGGATTCAGATCTCTAAACTGCCGAGGATGGATTAAGGGGGCGCTCGTTGTCTTTGCGTTTGGAAGCATGTTGGGGAGCTACCTAAGCACATTCCTAGACTCTTTCCTAAGCAAGGAAATTTATTACAATCTCAACTCCAAACTAGAATGACAGTAACCAATATAAGATCAATAATTCTATGAAAACAAAAAAGGATATTGCTGTGGTCGAATGAGTCTATCTATATCTATATCTATATCTATATCTATATCTATATCTATATCTATATCTATATCTATATCTATATATACGCATATTATATACGTATAATCCAGGAGTTCTTTGACACTTGTATAATCTGTCCTGGTTGAGAGTCACACCGCTTGGCAGCTCCACCATGGAGTCGAACTGGATGATGATAACCCCTGCACAGAGCTCAGTGCACAGAGTCGACTGTGATAAGCTTTGAACAAACTTTGAACATTCGTCTGCATTCTGAACATTTCTGAACTAATTTCCACGCATTTGCTCCATCTTTGTCCTGATGGATACTTACCGCGTTGATTGGCATAGTAAGCGCTCACTGCGCCTGGTTTATGAAATGCATTGAGAAACGTGAGATTCACTGAGACTCATGTCAAACGTGTGTCCTACCGTCCTACCCCAGAAATCCTCCTGCCTCCAGAGAAATATGCGAAAACGGGCTTGGGCCGTGAGGCCTCCGGGGCCATATTCCTATGATTTGAATGCTTTTGGTCGAAATGTCGAAATTAATCCAGAGATCTTGACTTCCCTTTGTTACACTTGTTGTTGCGGTTTTTCATTATCCCACTTCCCCATGGCACTGATCCTTTGCTTTCTTACAACCATTGGACTTCAACCTTTGCGGCTGTGGTATTTCCGAGCGGTTTTTGGATCAACAAGCTCTCCAAGCTGTGATCAGTACTGCACCTGTGTGCAAACAGCTGGTCCGTTAGGCACGTCTGCCGCAGCCTTCTGCACTTTCCGGCCTCGCAAACAAGAACTCCAAAAAGCAGTTGTGGTCATGGCCCCACTTTGTTTTACTTTGTTTTATATACTTTGTTCTACGAGACTCGGGCCATCCACTTTGTTTTACTTTGTTCTACGAGACTCGGGCCAATGTGGTATTGGTCAGGACTTGCTCGATCTGCCTCCGGCCTCACACGGTGCGGCACCATGTGGCACCATGTAGCACCACAGGCACCACTGCAATCTACAGCCGTATGAAGCTCATGAAAACACATGGAAACGCATCAAACCCGAAACCATCTGAACACTGAAATTCAAAAAGAAATCTCAGTGGTTCTCAGTGTCTCAGCTCGAAACACTGTGAATGGAGCGTCACAGGAATCCACCAACTGACAATGGGCTGTGCAAGTCCTTGGCAAAGCTCCAAGCCCTGAGTCACTAATCGTCACTGATAGTTACGGATAGTCACTGCATGCCAAAGCTTTGACAAAACTTTGACAACTGTGTCATGACCTCTTCGTAACCTTTTCATGACCTCTTCTCGCTCGGTTGTCTAAGCTTTGAGATTTTGGAATGCCACACTGCTACATACTGTCACACCTTTGGCAAACTGTGAGCTATCTGTGCTTCTGGCAGACTGTTGTCTTGGGTGCACCTCTGTCCACCTGAAAGCTTTGGACTATTGACATCTTTTGACATCTATTGACATCTAACATCTCTTGTCGCCTCTGAGTGGAACGGTGGAACAGCTTGGACAATCTGTGTAAATGTCATACTTCACCGATCCGATAGTCTGTTCCAACCATGTCATCGATCCATATCAACGGAGTTCAATCAGTTTCAACTGCCTGCAGGGCCGGTGAATTTTGCAAATGCAAAGCGCTGACCATACAAACCTTTTCTTCCGCATGACACTGCCACTATGCATTCAAATGCATGGCAACGCCCAAAGTTCATATAAGATTGTCGAAAATGATATATGGACCAGGGACGACCCAGTTAGGTATAACTTAGAGGTATAAGCTAGGTTAAAGTTAGGTAACCAGGTATAAATATGTATGCATAAGATTGCATAATTACGTATGTAAAACAGTATGTACGTATAAGATCGTATCAGTATTATAAGTTATATATACAAATATATATGAGGATCCGCAAGTTTTGGAGTTTGGGAAGTGCTGTCCAGATCCCACCTGATGAATCATCCACATAGAACATCGCCGCCCTGCACTCCTCGACACGCGACTTAGTCATGACATGTCATGACTATGTGATCTATGTGCAGTGTTGAAGTGTGCTGAATGCTTTCGTTTTTGATTGCTCAATTCTCGAAGTTTCTCGTTATTTTGAGGTCAAACTAAGTTGCACAGAGATTAGATTAGTTTGACCCAAAATTGGCCTGGTCTTTCTCACAGAATTTGGCACAGTCGTCATAACTTTCGAACCTCAGAGCCCGTGATGAAGATTGGGCCCCGAGTCTGCCACAGCTTCATTATGCAACCTTCTTTGGTCTAATGAGTCTAATAGGTATGGATCAAAATTCAGCACCCCGAAAATTAGACCGTTTGGTACCAAAGGCACAAAACTCTGTGGGCTGAAACTATGACCTGTATGCAATTGATTGCAATTGTATGCAAGTTTGCTTCTTCACTCGTGCCGTTTCCACAGTGCCTCTGCTGAGATCTAAACTTCACGGCTGGTGGCTGCCAGCTGCGGGTGGCGTTACAGTCCATTGCACTGCCTCGTAACGGCGGTGTACGGCGGTGTACGGCCAGATGCCAGGTGTCCCCGGTGTCCCCTGTAGATTCCCAACAAATGCTCTGAAAATCACGAAGAAACAGGGGAACCTTACGTCACAGACACCCTCTCTGAGGTTCAGAGCAAAACACGACGTCAAGAATCTGAAGCTAGTGACAGCTAGTGTTCAAATTGCTTCAGCGTCTAAGTACAACAACTCAAACATATGGTCATTTTCACCACTTCTCAGAATGATCCTCCGTCGTTGAGGAAGACTACATATCAGCCCAAACACAAGCGAGTATCACCCCCCCATCTAAGACTCATGGTCCGATGAAAAACGCCCCAGTGTAATCCAGACCAGACCAAGCTTGATAAAACAAGTTTGACTCAGTTTGACTGCAGTTCTACAGTGGACTCAATCAACTATGTCTTCCATCCTACCATATGCTGTTTTGGATGCCCAAACATTCCAAGCTGCTTGTCAATTTTCCTCTTGACTGCGCTATGGCGTGAAAAGTCAAGAGGCCCCTAGGCCATGCCACCACACATTCCTCCGATTCCTCCCTTCCAAACTCCTACCTACGTATTGCATCTCGTAGCTCTGACAGTCCACTGTGGCGAAATCTGGCGGAGGATCAACCAGTCGGGGTGAACAAATCCAGCACAAAAAAGTTACGAATTGCACGTCTATCATGTCTCTTGACAAGGGTATTGTCGGTATTGTATGGGTTTAAGTTTTGAATGCTGCATGCTTCTCTTGCATGATCTGCAAACTGTAAGTAAACCTGAATTCTATGGGGTTGCACCATGCTCGTGATTTCGCCTGACAGTAGATCCTGCACAGCACTTGGAGGGGCTCGTGAAATGGGATTTGGCTTCAGTTTTCGTCAATGTCTCTGGCTGTAACCATTGGGCGCAATCAAGCCCCCTTGGAGAAAGACTTTGCGATAGAACTGTCTTGTAGTCTTGTACTTTTCTGATCTTTTTCTGCACTTTTGCGTTTCCCGACCCATTTTCGCCCGCTTGACCCACACGATCCTCGGGGTGCAAAGATGAACTTCCGCAGCGTCGCATCCGTCATGTCCGCAGGGCAAAAGCCCCTCAGTAAGGTGAGAATCGAAGTAATGCACACGAAGCAATCTTCGAAGCCCAAAGTAATGGTATTGTGTGAGGTTGTGGAGACATAGACTGCTCAAAGTCACTCAAAGTTCTTACCCTGACAATATAGCAGAAGTGGGCTCAGTAGTAGGTGGTTCCAAATTTGGGAAGCTGTCATCGACTTCACCCATGCCCATTCACATGAATGTCACAAATTGTCAAAACAATTCAAAACACATCTGAAGAGAAGACCGAAGAGCACCGAATCTTGTTCTGTTCAGAGACACTGCAACTTTCTTGGTTGCTGTCATCTCAGCTTCAAACATATTGGCTGTGACACCAGCCGGTGGAAAGGTCTCCCTCGGCAAAAGCTACACTGCCGCTACATTGCTCGACGTTCAACTTCCATTGTTTCAATCAGGGACGCTACATCTCAAATCCTGCCACACCAAGTTTTTTGTCTCCTAACAGGTCCTAACCTATCACAACAGCTAACAATCCCAACTCCAAATAACTTCAAAATACATTATATACATTCAAAGAAAAATTCAAAACTTCAAAGTTTGGCGGTGCTCTGCTCTGGGCTCCGACGAAGCAATCCATTTGTAGCACACTTTCGGCCAAGTCTTAGGGAGGGCCAGGTGGCATTGGAAGGTACAGTCGGTCCAGTCAAGATTGGTGACCTGCTAAACTGCCAAACTATGAAGATGTATAACGGATTGTAGCCTGTATAGCATTGTATCGTCTTCCAAACTGCACTTGGCAAACAGGCACAACGTGAATGTGAAGAACATTTTGAAACGATCTCTGGACTGGTATCAGTGGCATATGAGAATATCAGGTATCAGGAGCAAATCCATGCGTGCCATGCACAAATATACACAGATACGCACCGTACATCACAAGACTAAGAACGATGTTACAAAATGTTACAAGCTCAGCGATGCCTGCGATGTCCATGCGCATTGTGTGCATTGTGTGCATTCTTCAATTCCTTCATGAGGTCCTACAGATTCCTACAGATTCCTACAGGGCCTCTCTCGCCATGGAAGCTCTCCGCTGAGCTCCTGACCGCTGGTGCCTGGAGCTGACGCGGAAAGCGATTGATGCGATTGGACATTCTGACAATCTGCGCGCAATCTGCGCAGAATCTTGTTAATAGATGTTAATAGCTGTTAATGATTCTTACAGTGAAGACAGTAGAGTCTTCCAGCAACTTTTGATCGATCAGGGAATCCCGAAGAACAAAAACCCCGAGTCAAGTTGCTGCACTAGGCCGATAGAAAAGTGTTACAGAACTCTTCCTGGAAACTCTAAGTAGGAGCTAGTTGCAGCTAGTTACTAAGTTTCCAAAAGAGTCACTCTGCAGGCGGGACCCGACCCTCGGACTTGATCGCACCTTAAAGTCCAAAGGAACTTCGATTGCACAGGTTGCGCCCAAGGAGGACATCTGAGCAAATTCATTTGCACCTCGGTAAATTCGGTGTGCTCGAATGCAATTCGCTTCAGATCTCAACCCGAAAGTTGTCATCAATGTGTCATCAACATATGCGAAAATTATACATCTGTCACCTGAATGTCACCTTTCTCCCGTCCTTGTTTTGCAGGATGCTTCTTTTTGCCAACCCTTTCAAGGCTGAAAAACATTTAAGGCTCTTGCCATAGACAGGGAAACGACCGGCTTTCCTGGAAGACTTGTATAAAGCTTGGGATGTGTCCGTCTCATACTGGCCAAGGGCTAGACGCTGGAAAAAACGGTTGACAGCTGGAAAAAAAAAGGAATTAAGGTTCACCCCTACTCTCCACACTGGAAAAAGAACATAAGACACTGGAAAAAAAACTTAAGAATCTATACTTGGAGGATTTGTTGCAGCTGAAATCTCTTATTTGTACCATATGTGCAGGGTTTTGGAACTCAAACATGCAATTTGCATGGTATTTAAAGTGTTTTGGCCTTGAATCCCTTGTGTTGGTTTAGACTTTTTTTAGGGATAGTTTTAAAGTCTATTTCGGTTTTTCTTATGTAGTGCATGGGTTTATTTAGTGCTGGCTTAGGGCTTAATTTTATCGCTTATTTAGGCTTTGCTGAGGGTTTATTTGGATTGTATTATTATTTACGATTTAATTTGGTTTGATTTATGGTTGTTTTGGTGTTTCTTCATGTTTACGTTTGTGTTATATAGTGCCGATCTATGGTTGGTTTGGTGCTTGTTTGATTTTGTTTTAAGGTTTATTTATATAGTTTGGGTTTAGGTTTTTAGGTGTCATTTTAGGGCTTAGTTGGAGTTGCTTGGATGTTTTTTTGCTGCTTCTTTCAGTTCGTTTCAGGGATGTTTATGTAGGACAGTTAGGTTTTATTGAGGGTGTGTGGCCTCTTCAAGCTTCCTTTCGGGCTTAAAAGGATGAGGGGGGTAAAGGACCAGGTGACCAAAAGATCAGGGGAAGGAATCTTAAATGATGTTTCCAGTAATTTTAGGTTTTTTTTCCAGGAAACTTCGACTTTTTTCCCAGTATCATCCCACGAACCAATGTCCAAACACAGGGCTGCTAGTGAGATAACGATATCATGAGATGATTGAGATGAGCGTGCCTGCCCCGCCAGTCGGATCCAGTGTCTCCATAGCACAGCCTGCCGCAGGACAAAGGTAGACAGAGCCCAGGGTGTGTCACACAAAAATAAAAAAAAACTTCAACTGATTCAACTTGAAGTTCAACTGTTATGGGTAACCAGGTGATCGATCTTACAAAGGTGCCCTTGATTCGGAGAAGTGGCACGGGCGTGGCAGACCGGACTTCACATGGCTTCCTTGAATTGCCTGGTCTTTGCATTACTGAATCATTACAAGTCTCATTACTGTTGAGTTGAGTCCGAGTCTCAAACTTCCCGCACCTGGGCCAACAGCTGCTGGGGGAACTCTCAAAGTTGGCACATTCGAAGCCCTGCTCCACCTGCCGAACACTGGCCCCAAGTTCCAGGTGATTGGAGAATGTCAGTGAAGACAAAATGGACAACATGTCAACACATGAAACAAAAGAAAAGTTCACGCCTTGAACATGCTATGCAATCATGTTGAACAGAAATCTACAGGAAGTTTTCAAGACAGACATCTTTGCACATCATTCCGCAAGAGTCTTGCCAATGCCGGAGCTCGCCTCGCAAACACCGTTGCAGCCATCCATGGATCGCAAGTTGCCGTCATCACATTGTTCACCCGGCTGTGCCTGGGCACAAACTTGAGATACTTTACAAAGAGGCCCTGAGCTTCCAGACTATCATGAACTTATACAAAATATGTGTACATATGTATTATAATATGTATGTATGTATGTATGTATGTATGTATGTATGTATGTATGTATATATTGCTATAATTATTATTATCATTATTATTATGTTCATCTATTTTTGGCATACTGCAAACAGAAAATTATACATCTACCTACCAATGTACATACTTTGACTATATTTATATATATATATTTACATAGTAAAAAATGCAGGGCCCCACGACTTTTTGGCATGTTCCGGCGTTTTTTTTGCAGCGCGCCGTTTCCAAAATCGCATTCTAAGTTTCAGAAAATTATACATCTACCTATGTACATACTTATACTATATATATACTGTATATATATATTTATTTATATTACAAATGTTTTGTGCTTGGTGGGATGGAATCCGCACATCAAGTCACGGCGCTCTTCTGTTTCCATTGACCATCGACTATTCGAACTATTCGTCAGTCTATTCGTCAGTGATGGAAGAGACTCAGTACTCTTAGTACTCAACGAGTACTCAACGAGTACTCAACGAGTACTCAACGAGTACTCAACGAGTAGTACTCAGTAGACCCATCTTCATTGACAAAATTCATAGAACGGTCTTGTCGCGGTGCCCCGTGTTGCCATGTCTCCCTCGCAATTTGTTGTCCCTGAAATGCTTGTCCATTCAGCACTTTTGTCCCTGCATGTTTGGGAGCGGTTTGAAGAATAAACTGGAATCAACAAGAATAAATTGAAATTCCCTGCATGTTCAAGTTATTTCAAGTTGCACAACTTGGAGAAAATGATTCTTGCGAAACCGACCCTTTGACTTCAAAGCTGGGCATCGCGGCCACGCCATCGCCACAAATCGGGCGGCACATTGCACGGAAGACGGTTCGCTTCGCTGCTTCCGGATCATCTGAATGCAGGGCGGTCACTGCATCGAAATTTGAGAAACTGCGGGGCTCAGCACATTTCATCCATATGCTAAGATCAAGTTTTCAGTAATAGTCCTTGGCTTGGTTTCAGTTATGTTTTTGCAACAAATAATCTTGGTTTTCCGTCCAGACTTAAGTTTCATCGTCCAGGTCAGCATGCTTGATGACCTAGTGTGCATCTTAAACTTGCAAGGGTGGAACTGCAGGGTGAACTGCGCACACCAAAGATTCAAAGTGACCATCGAATCATCTGCCCATGTTGCCACATGCCATCAATGAAACCTGGCTTCAGGAAGCTCCATATCTGGGGTTAATGCTTGCGTCACCATTGTCGTCATAGACAAGGTCCAACTCAGCCTGCAAAAGCCCAAGAACGGAAATGTCTGCGAGGCTCCTCTCGTTCAAATAGCTACAAGCTTGAATCCTAGATCCAACTCCTCTTCCACAAAAATCAGCCCACCTTTCTGGCAGCCCTGGCACTGACTCATACTCACTCGTTGTTCTTTTGCATCAACTCCAGGGATATCAATCTATGTCTGCTCAAGACAAGTCCCACCAAAATATTACAATTTCTATCAGATTCTGATTATCAGCCTCACGGTGCAGTCGGTCAACCATTTTGGCTTCTTCCTGCAGGGAGTTCGGGAATGGAGGAGAACTAGTTGAACATAAGACTCAGCCACAGAAATTTCATTGCGCACGTTCGGTAACTTGGCAAATACGAAAACAAGGCAAAGAGGCTAGAGTCGAAAATCACAAGGTGTGTGTACAAAATGTGAATCTCGATCTATAAACAATTTCTCTCTGAAAAATGCCGGCTTAGGTGGTATAGCATTGGAGAGAGGGGACCGCCAAAAACTGTTGACCTGGGAGTCGCATCCACTTGGTATCTCGAAGTGGTTCCAAGGAGTCTCCCACTTCGCAACTTGGAAAAATACTTAGGATCTGCTTATCAAGCGGTTTTAGCACCATCACACTGACGTAGAACTCGAAGTCAAGATGCTAGGAAAGCACCATACAGTTTCTGGCCCTGCTCCTCCTTGCATTCGAAGCCAGGTGGACAACCACCACAAGGCTCCAACACGTAGGCGTGGGATTCCCAAAGTTCCACCTCAACGGAAATCCTGTATCGATATGTATCGATATCATCGATGTCCGATTCTTCTCCAAGCAGTCAAAAAACATCAAAAATCATCAAATTTGTCGGGTTCAAGACGAATCTACTCTTGGTATAATAATGTATTATACCTATCACTGGCTCACTGAAGACTCCAAGTATCTCCAAATCAGCTCGGCAGCACAGCACTCCCCACCTCTGGTGGAGGCAACATTGTTGGCAACAGGGGAGGGTCGCGAAGTCCCTGAGTAATGCGCCGTGCCTGGCGCTGAAACTCCTTGTGTTCCCTTCTCTGCGTCTGATATTCAGATCTATTTCAGATCTATTCAAAATCTATTCAAAATCTATTCAAAATCTATTCATATCATTTAAATAATTTAAATATTAAAATCCAGTGCCCTCTGAACTTGGAAATTCTGCCTGATTCGACCTGACTTATGAGTCAAACCGAACCCCATTTCTGTTCTCTGCCTGCCGATCTGCTGGGGAGGCCTTGTGACAGCTGCCAGGGAACGGATGACACAAAAACTGCCAACTCCAACTCTGCAAAGTGGCTGCTATGACTCCAAGTTTGTACGCTCCTAGCACCCAATAGTACTTTACAATCGAGGATCTATGAGGTGTTAGCATCCATGTCTTCACAATTCCTTCGTGCGCAAGGAGGATTTGGACAATGCTTGGACATGCAAATAACTCGTAAGTATGTGTTATATATTGTTGTATGATAGTGTTCCTGCCAGGAGGGTCTTGACATGCAGAGATGCGGAGATGCTGGGCATCGCTCTGTCCAACCATCCACGGAGAAACGGTGCACTCCCAGACCTGTCACAACTGATCAACTTGCTTCAACTTCTCCAACCAGTTCAAGTATTTGGTAGATAGTTCGGTCAGCTTGTACAGGAATCCGGATCGTCGCGTTATGCCAACATGGCATTATGCCATAGTATGCCAACATGGGAATGGTTCAGTACAATATTTGTTTGCTGTCTTTCGACTCAGGCCTTCGATTTCCACTTCGATCCATTGTCCGTACCACGCATCAGTCCTGAAGAACATTGATTGGACTGAAGACAAATTGACAACAGCAATGCTGCGAGACGATTTGCCGCGTACTCAGATCTTGCCACTTTTTGCAGGGTAGACAAAGTTGAACTATGTTGAACACAAGTACAGTACAGTAATGTACAGTATACATAAGTAACATAAGCATTCGGGATCTGTCTGGCCCTTCAATTCGGTTTGTGCATAATTCGGTTTGTAAGCCTTGTAAGAATCATACGATTCGACACGATTCGACACACGATTCGATATTGGGTCGCTGAGGCCAGAACGAGTGACTGGTCACGATTATGCCCACAGGGTTCATGGGCTCGTCCAAGAGCACGTCCTGCAGGGTGAACGCAGCGACCGCAGTATGTTCGGTACAGGTACTTCAAGTAGCTTTCAAAAAGTTTGAAAGTCTGCCAGTCCACCATTTCATGTGAAACGTTACCTTTTCTTTTCATAGCTTTTCAACTTGATTTCAACTGGCTTTGACTTTTTTCCTCCTTTTCTCCATTTGCACAACAGGTTTACTTCCGGAGACTGGAGCCACACGCCTTCATGAAGCCTTGGGTCTGGCCAGCCAGAAGGTCTTCCAGAATGAAGCTGGTGACATCTGCCACCCTCACATCCGTGGACTTCAGGGATGAAAGCTGCGTTAAGACTTCCAATCCAAAGAAAAAAACTCGGTAGAACCGTAGAACCGTAGAACAGTGATCCATCTTGATTCCCCCAAAAAATTGCAAATTGTGGGTTTGGTGTTGCTTTGAAGATTCCAAGTCTTGATCAAATCATTCCTTCATTCCACCTGTTTCTCTCAAACGTCAAATCACGAAGCAAAGCACATGAAAGCACATGAAAGCACATGAAAGCACATGAAAGCACATGAAAGGGCATGAAAGCACATGAAAGCACATGAAAGGGCATGAACCATCTTCATCCGTCTTGAACCCGTGAGACTTGCGGCCACTGACCTTGGCCACACTTGGAAGAGTTTCACCTGCAACTTTAACAGCAGATCTGGTTGCACAGGGCAGAGCGATTCCTTAAACCAACGGACAAAGCCCCATGACATTGTACCAAGATTTACGAAGTGCCAACTTCCTACAAACATGGCCTCAGCAGTTTACAGAATTCCCTACAGCTGCATGCTCACTTTGACTTCCTCTTCCTAATCTTCCACGAAGACATGGCCACTCAGGGCCACGCTCACGCAACTCACGCAACTCGAATCAAAAATAAACAAAATAAGAAATTCTAAGGAAATTCTAATATTTTTTTTCTTCTAAGTTTAAACAGGTTAATCAATGTTAAACATGTTTAATTCATTTTATTTCTAAGTAAACAAACAGATCAAGCACGGCACGCTGTGACACACGGCACACGGCACCTCGATGGGGCCCATGGAGCCCGCGTGCGGCACGTCCCGTGTCAGTGTCCGGACGTAGATGGTGCGCCTTGGACACCAAAACAACGAAAAGAATACACAAAAAAAAAGAAAAAAAACACGGGAATTTCATGATTTTCATGGAAATTTCCGAATTTCCATGAATCCTGTGAATACCAAATGTTGTTCACGAGTATTCACACTGGACCTACCAAATACGTCCAATACTGCGACTAACAAAGGTGTCTCGCATCGTTGGGGCTCTCCATAATCTTCTCGACTAACTTTGCCAGAGGATAGTTGGAGGCAAGAATGGCAAGATCACTGCGAGGCTCAGTTAGGCTGAGTTAGGCTGAGATAGGCTGAGTTAGGCTGAAAGGTGTGCCAGAAAGGTCGGGCTGAGCACGAGACGTGATGTCCTCGTGCAGGCAAATCTCACTAGGAACATGTGGATAGATAGGTATGATTTTCCCATATTTCCGAGATGCATTGGATTGTCTACCGGCACAGCTTGCGGCCCATCGCAGTTTTGGCATTGTTCGGCTGAGAAACAAAAAAGGTTCCAAAACGGATCCAGTAACTTAGTACCACGTATCTTAGTACGTATAGTATCGTATAGTCACATTTTACATGTGCTGAAATTGCCGCCCTGAGAATCTGAACATCTCTCAACAGATTCCACCGATGTGATATGTTCCTTTGTGTTGCACTTTGCATATCTTTGCATATCTTTGCATTGTGTATCCTTTGTTGAAACACTAGGAGCATCGGTGGGCATCGGTGGGCATCGGTGGCTTGCAGGGCACGACAACCCAGGCCGCCCAGGCCTTTGGAAATTCAGCCCAATGACCAGGAGGCCTCATGTCCCTGGCGATGCGCAATATGCGCAATGTGTTGATCACAATGTGATGTTTTGTTGCAAAGTAAGGTGAGCAAAAAAACTGTTGAAACGTGTTGAAACGTGCTGAAACGTACTGAAAAATGTTGCCTCAAACGCCAACTTGCGGAAAATGCGTTTGTCTTCCAGAATCCATGGCTGGCGGACGGCCGTACTTCTGGTGTAATCACTGGCGCCACCAACCTCAACACGACATGCAAACGCTGAAGAACCTCCGTGCTTGAAGAAACGATTCTGACATGTAGACTTCCAGCCAAAGTCTGGAAAAAGAGGCAGAAACTGATTAGAGAAAAGCCTTTGGTTTCCTATCTAGGAAGACAAAATTCAGCACTGCTCGGATGGACTACGGACTTCTGCCACTTCGATTCACATTGAATTCCGGCAGCACTTTCTCTGAAGAAAGTCCACACTCAAAGAAAGACTCTCAAGAGATTCAGAAGTCACAACGAGACTGGTCGTGAATTGGTCATGAATTGGTCATGAATTGGTCTCTTAATGCAAGCTCAAAGGGGGCAGCTGCCACTACCCAAGTGCCCACACGGAGTGCGCGTGTGGATCTCGGCCGAGGACTCAGTGGCAGGCTGAAGGCCACAAGAAGGTTCGAGTTGCAATGAACATTGCAACATTTTGCAACATTTTGCAACATTTTGCAACAATTTGAATATGACTCCAATGACAGTTTGGAGCAAAAATTGGCAACTCTAGAAATTTAAACCTGAGCCCTCCTGAGTCCAAGGACCACCAAAACAGCGCCCACCTCAGTGTAGAAGTCCTGCGCGACGCGACATGAGCAAACTTCCAGAGATTTGGGGAACCCCATCTCGACCTTCTGAAAGGAACTGCAAACTGCACAGACATTTACAAACGCGGAGGCAAACGCTGTAGCGCAACCGCTTCACATGCGTAACTTAGCAGCAATAGAACTATTGGAAGCACTGTGTGCACTGGGGCCATTCATCACTGTGCAGCACTGTCTCTTTCCTCTTTTGAACACACAAAGCTGTGCCTCTCCCTCTTGGCAGCACGGAGCACGACCTGACACCGAGTTGGAAACTTGGAAACCAGATGAAACCAGAAGCTGCATGAAGCGATGAAGCATCGATGAAGCATCGATGAAGCATCGAAGCATCGAAGCCATCCGCAGCCACAGATTACCGGCTGAGGCTCTTGCCACAAAAGCAGTGGCAAACGCGATACCTCCCTGGCCTAAGCGTCCAGACGCGTCCAGTGTCAAATGTGTCGTGGTGTCCATTGATGTCCATTGTGTCCACCATTTGTCTCATGACGTCCTAGCGTTGGCCCGTTGGCCGCGTTGGCCGGGTTGGCCGGGTTGGCCCGTTGCCTTGACTTCTGTTGACTTCGTGAAATGAAGTGAAAGCATCGTTGCTTCCCGATAGGATCCGTGCTTGCCAATGAGAATGTTCCGAAACCTTGGATCCGTTGTCGTTCCAACTCATGATATCAAGCATCGTTCCAATGATACATAATGATACGACATCACACCTTGGCCAAGTTTCACTGACAATACCACGATCTTTCTATCGACACAACGAAGTCTGGGTTTATCCATAGGGAGAATTATACCTGCGCATCTTAATCACTCTCAAACTAGATGCGGATAGATGTTGACAAATCATGGGACATCTAGATCCTGGATGCGAATGTAATTGCCATCATTGATCCTTTGTCCTTCACTGCTTATCACATCGCATCTGTAAATCATCTGTGCAGCCAGCAATTCCTGGTCTAATGGTAGCCTTCACTGGGTCTTCCACTCTGCTTTGGTGCCGTCAGATTGGGGATTTCCAGGATTGTTCATCACTTCTAAGCCTCAGCAATGCGGCTGTGCAGGCTTCCAAAGCCGACCTATGGAGTACGATGTGCCATGAAAGCTTTCTGTGCTCATGCCTATGTGGCCTCAAATAGCAGAGAGCCAAGGCTTTGATCGGCAGGAGGTATAAAGTGTGGCAGGACTCCTGATACTGTAGGACTGTAGGGACTCACCAACAGGGCATTTGCATCCTAAATTGCAGCGTCATGGAGTCCTAAGCCTCAAAGCATTGTTTAAGCACGGTTAAAGCTAAATGATCTGCCTTCTGCCATCCTCCAAGGTCAAACTCTCAAGGCGCAATTTCTAAATGTTATGTGAAAACCAATTGAAATATATTGAAGTCATTGAAATCTACTATGGAATTGCAGAGGATGCATAGGGAATCACAGGCAAAAGCCCAACACGGCTTGAAGTCTTGCAGCTCAGCTCGCAACTGTTCAAGCCAGCAAATCTACTGCCACAAGCAGTGTAGTCATCCACAACACGTATTCTTTCCTGTCACACTGCAAACTGCAAACTACAACGCAGGATACAGGCGAAGAGTGGCGAAGTGCCAAGCAATGCTGAGCATGAGATGTTGCGTTTGCACTACCAATGACCTGCTCATCTCTTGCAACTGGCTGTTCATGCAAAGGGAAGTCCGTGAAGTGGAAGGAATAATACGGATACGTGAGGACGGTTTTGAAAAGGCAGTGCATCCCGAAAATCTTAGACAAGTGAAACATTGTATCACATGACAATATCACATAGTGAAACATTCGCTTTTGGATCCTGGTCTTTTGCAACACATTGAAACGGATTTTGAGCACCTCAGGTTGCATAGAGGTTCCATAAAGCTTGTAGGTGAAGTAGGTACCATTCGCCACGTTCTGAGCCGAGTCCGATCCAAACGAGCCCAGGCCAAAGATGGCCCGTATGGTGAGTTTTGGACGGCCCGGTGTCCTATGGTGTCCTATGTTGCCCTAATAGGCCTTTAATAGGCTCTATACCTCACTTCTGCCCGAAATCTGAAGGCGGCATCGAACCAAGAGATGACATGTCGTCAAGCCGCTTTGCATTTTCGCTGATTTGCCACTTAAACCCACCAGATTCTGACATGTCTGAAGGGGCGTTTCAAAACTTGAGGACACTTCATTGCAATGAGGGGCTGAGGCCCATTGGGCTGTGGACCCTCATTGCACCTGCACTTGTGGAGGGTCTGTTGTAGGTCCCACTGGCATGATCAGCGCGGCGTTGATCTCAGTCCATACTGCAATCAATGATGAGCGTGCTCAAAGTTGCGATATTTTAAGCGTGGACTGGGGCAAGCCAAAGTGTGCATGCGATTACCGCAGAGAGGGAGTGATCATTTTTCACTCTTTTTTGATGTTGGACAATCTTTATTTCCTCACAATCTTTTTGACTTCATGTAACTCATGTACATCACAGCGGGATATGGCTCTCCAAGCTGAATCCGAAACTACTTGGGCTTCAGCCAAGAAGTCTTCACCTGTACTGCCTCAGAGCTTGAGGTGATGAAACCGTTTCAGGGAGTTCAGAGATTCCAGGGTCAATGCTTCATGTTCAGTTTAGTGCCGTTAGTAACACATCTCATATGTAACTCATCGCAGAACTGCAAGCGCGCGCGGCCTTTTTTGTCAAAGAGGCTGTGGAACACTACAGCGAGGCCAGTTGTTGAGTAGTACAGCCCAGGAACCGCTCTATGTGGAAGCAAAAAAGATCAAAAAAGCCTTTAGTAACTTAGTGACTTAGTGCATCAGCGACACCATGGCGGCACCATGGCGTCTGTTCCAGCCATTTCTGTCTTGGCCTCCGGACATCCTTCCGGTGCACCACACCAACACACCCGCAAGGGCCTGGCATCACGGACCTGGCACAGTGACACAGCCACACTTAAATTCATTAGGAATTCATTAGGAATTCACTACCTGTCATCGCCCTAAAAATAGACATTCGATGGCCTGGTGGTTTATTTCGATTTAATTCGGATGTATCCAGGCTTGAAGAGACACCAAAAAGGATCCCACAGTGCTCCAACAATAATCCGATAACTCCGATAATCCAAGACTGCTGTTTGGAGGTCCCAAAACAGGAGCTGCAAACCCCATCCAAAAAAATAGGCTTGCAACACAGGAACACAAATAACCCACGAATTACCACTGCAATACATGTGGATACATATCTATACAACATTATAGTAAGCTGTGTAATATTAGTAATATTCTATCATCAACTATAACATACTATAACTAATATAGATACATATATATATATATATGAAGATTGAATGAACACGACGCAAACATCGTGATTTTCGTCGTGAAATTGTCGGATTGTCCAGGTCTCCACGCCCTGACATCTGTCCATATCACTGAATCAGCTGTGATGCGCTGAGGAGGGCCGCTGGGCCTCGGTGCGAGTCAACAAGAAAAACAACAAGGAAAACATTGTGACATATTGTGACATATTGTGACACAATACAATTGACAACATAAGCTGTACATTAAACTGTACAGCTGTACAAGTTGTACAAGTTGTACAAGTATACAGCAAGTATCAAACGACACACGACTTAGGCATCAAATCAAACAACATATGACTTGACTGACTTGACTGACTTGACATGACTTGACATGATTTGACATGACTTGACATGATTTGACATGACTTGATTGTTTAGTCACTAAACATCAGTGCAGCAAAATGGATCACAGATCCAATGACAGCAGTCTGCGACCCTGACAAGAAGGACTGCTCGACGTCGATGCCAGACGAGAAGAACTGGCACGGTGGGCGCTCTGGGCTTGGCCCAAACATCCAAACATCTCCAACCCTTGCAGGTGACTCACGTGATAGGTTGGATCATAACTGTTCAATGTTACTTAAAAACAAATACAGTCTCAGACCCAGTGCAAGGAACTTGATTCTGCACGGATCTTTACAACCTAACTCTCCTCCAACACCTCACAGTGCCTTCAATACAAACCTAGACAACATTAATCCTGTTTGTGTGCATGGATCGAGACAAAGCCCGAAACGCCGACATAGAAGGGAATGATTGACAGCTTGACAGCTCAGCTCTTTAAGGTTATGAGTATAGTCAGTATATTATAGTTATGTCTTTGATGATCTTTTATGAGTATAGCTCTTTTTAGAACCTCTTTCCAAGCCTTTAGAATCTCTCTACATGACAATGATGAGAATAAACTTGAACATGATCTCAATCTGAGGGCCTCAGCTTCGGGGCTTCCACACTGCACAGTGGCGGCATCCACCAGGCGGATCCGGTCACTGGAGCCTGTTGTGTCGCAGGATGTCGCATGAGTCGCATGTCTTCGATTTTTTGGGCCCAAGATTTTCAACTTTGCCAGGTCGACTGAAGCCCGCCATTTCGCCTCCCCTGACTGTAATCTCCTGCCAACAAACACACTCAAAGACTCAAGGAGTGCAAACGCACCATGCCATCTCAATTGAGGTACATTTTTCCAGAGAATCCGCGACGTCTTATGACGTCTTATGACTCTTGATCTTGGAATGATGTTCCCTCAGCACAGGTGAAACTGTATCGTAGCCAAAAGGAAACTGCACAAAACTGCAGCTGTCAAGGCAGCAACACATCATGTTGTTCAACACTTACTACGTCTTACTACGTTCGCCTGAAAATTGAAATCATAGCCGACCTAGCCGACCTAGCCGACCTTACATGCCACATGTGGCGTGAATCTGGGCTTTCGGAGTCGCTGCAGACTCCTCAGAGCCTCCAATCTTGATAGTTCCCGCGTACTGGATTGGTCCTGGCACGAAAGGCTCTTGCTTTTGCATGGTGAAATGTTCATTGGCCACTTCAGGGCCTTCAGAAAAGCCAATAGAACAATATGAACAATATGAAAATATGAACACTTTAGCTCTCTGAGAGCTTTCTTGCCAATTGTGCCGTTTACATCTTTGGTTTTTTTTGGCTGCGGACAAGGTGGACAAGGCTCGAGGTCATCCCCATGAAATTCGCGTGCCACCCCTTGCCTCGGACATTGACCCGTAGGGCCTCAACACGGAAGTCCTGTCGCTCAGAAATCGCTTGGAACTGAGTTCTTCTACCGTTGTACCAAGTTGTACCATTCGAAGATATTAGAAATGTATCGATATGTTCCAAGTTGAAAGTGCTGAGGAGCTGTGAATTGTTGCCATATAGAGCAGAAGCCTAGAGACTTGTACTCAACAAGGGATCGTTCTAGACCAGCACATTTCAGATAAACAGTTTGTCAGCGTTGGTTCGTGTTTCCAGCTCTTCCACAATCTCTCCACAGTCAGCAGTTCTTGTGCACAGTGGGTATATAGAAGGGCAAAGCATATTTCCAGCCAGAGTGAGATCTCTAAGTGTAGGCCATATTGTGTTCATTTGTTTAGACGCCTATTGATCAATTTATTCTATCTGTTCGATCATTCATCCGTTTGTGTTTTCATGTGTTTAACATATCCATTCCGTTGATAGCTCTGTCTCTGTCTCTGTCTCTGTCCCTCTCTCTCTCTCTTTGGATATGTGCCAGAGTTTAAGAACTACAATCTCTCGGTAAGAAGTTGCTTGACTCTTGAGCATGTTAATGATTGGACGGCACGACAGTCTCCTCCCCTCGATTGCAAGTGAGTCGAGAGCCATCTGGACGAGCGCCTTGACACCAACCTCGGAAGTACAGCGGATGCGGAAGATGCGAAACCAAGTGTCTTTGGACAGCGAAGAGCCGAAGAAATACCTCCAATGCCTCGAATGCCTCATCGAATGCCTCATCTAACATTCTCATACATTCTCTATCCATCCGTGCCATCCTCATCCTTGTTCAGACTTGCATCTTCTCTGGGGAGCCGACACAAGCGGAAGGTGCCAGAGGCTTTCAGAGTGACATTGGCCCAAAGGCTGAAGGATTCATTCCCCAGGTGCCGGCCCCTGCCAGGACATGTCATCAATGTGGCCATCTGAATCACCTAGACAGATTACATCAGATTACGAGAATCGAGATCCATTCGAGTTTTGGCACTTTGTGCATTGGATTCAAACTTTATTCAGCTTTGGCACAGCTCAAAGGGGATGGTTGATCTCAGCTGTCCACGCTGTCCACAGGCTCACAAAGTCCGGAGTCACACGAGGAAAATATGGAAAAATCATCATGGCCCTCTCTGCAAGATGGCTTTCGTTCAATTCGAAATATTCGAATAGCAAACTTAACAAATCTCTGTCGAATCTGGGCAGCACCTTCCAAGAGTGTTTCGACTCTGTACTTCTTCCGCAAACTCCTGGCATGCTGCAGCTCTACCAGACTCTGCCATGCTGTGATGGTCAACTGTGGCTAATCTCTGGTCATGTGGCTGCTTTGGCTATCAATGAAGAGATCTTCAATGACTGTGTCGATTCTTACAGCCATGTCTCTTGATTACAATTCATGACATGTCATGTTCATTCATTTTCCAATAACTTCAATAATCAATAATAATCATAACTAAACTGTCGCATTGTCTCCATTTCCATCCATGGCCTCTGCCCCGGGCACTCCACACTGCTGCGAGCTGTTGACCTCGGAACCCAGGCTCCGCTGTCGAGTCATCGACTTCTCTGACCTATTCGACCTATTCGACCTATTCGATCTATTCCCTGTGACCTCCTTGGCACCTTCCATGTTCTTCCGTCCTTCCGTGCCTCTTCAAGCTTTCTGTAAGCTTTGTCAGGCCGTCAGGCTTGTCAGAGCCCAGTTACGACTAAGGGCAGTCTGAGACTCTGGTTAGGATTCATGACGGCGCCATTGATTTGCTCGTAACAAACACAAATCTCACCAAGATCTGCAACAGCCATCACTCTCTTGATGCCAAGAATTGTGAAGCAAAAGAGACTAGCAATTGTTCAAGGGCTCCCTGATGCTCCATGCAGTGCTAGACATTTCTGATCATTTCTGCAAGTCTGAGCTCCAACCAGCCGCACGCGATCGAAGATGGACAGCTCCATGCCGAAAATGGCCAAGGAGAAGGGTCGTCCAGGCTGAGCGGGTACCATTCAGTCTGGAAAAAAAGTTTTAAAAGTTTGGAAAGACACAGAAATAGTTGCAGCAGGGCTTGTTTCCACTTCTCGTCATCTCCATGTCAGTCACAGTCTTTGAGTTTCCAAACTCGTTTCCCTATGTTCCTTCTATATAGAAAGCTCTGCTAGGAGCGTTCCTTGGCTTCCTTGAGCTTCCCCGCCATCCCTTCCACAACTTCTGCATCATCTCGACGACTGTCAGGGCCGACGATCACGACCTCAAGAGATGTAGCAGGAATGCGTGCTCAATATTGTTTAATTGCCAACCTACTGACTGGGAACTCAGAAAATCAAAAGCCTGTTTGAAGACCGCATCATGCGACCTAGCCGCAACTTTTTGACTGAAACTGCCCTTCATTCTCAACTTGCATGAATTCACTGTTGATTTTGAGGTGATGAGTAAAGCAGAACAAGAAACTGCAAACTCTAGAACTATTTATTTCAGACTTTGGCCTTCAAAAAGCTCATTTTGTCTGCAACCCAGTGCAGAAGGTGAATCCCAGGCTCCAAACACTTCCAGCATCATGAATGAAGAATTCTGGAGCAGAGCAGGGAGTGATTTGCCCAAAGACTACCTCAGGTTCATGTCGAGTCACATCCCCATTACCCTTTGGAGGCCTTGGCAAGAACAGTTTTTACCACATTGTGTCGCATTGCTGACAAGTTTTGATCAATCTTGATCTAGAGTCTGATAAGTCTGATAAACATTCTGTCACGGGCTCTTCTATCAGCCACTCATACTTCATCCTTTGAACAGGACTTGTATCTGAGGTTTCAGCTGCATCCTTTACACAAAAGCAAAGGCGATATTGTCCCGTTCTGGACACCTGAGGCGGTTCGCAAACAGTTTGTTCACACTCTTGTCACGATGACTCTTGTGGATACGGTGACATCTACTGAAAACTCAAAGCACCTGGTCAATCTCAGATTTCAATATTTCGCCTAATCCAAAGCACCTAAAATCTCAACTGGTTCATCACTTTTTTGAATCACCTTCAAGATCGTTCTGTTCCCAGTAAGTTTCAGCGTTTGTTTCCACAACCTGCCATTCAAACTGTGGGGCGCAGCCCAACCCGAGGCCCTGACGAAGGGAGGACCAAAGTTATAGGTTTTCCGCGTGTAGGATGGCCTAGGCTTGCTGCGAACCGCACAGCGGTTCAGGTGGTGAAGAGCAGCTCGGCACTCAGACTCATGTATATTGCTGTATATATAACACACATATATTCGCATGTCATGGATGGAGGGAGGGAGGGAGGGAGGGAGGGGGAGAGAGGGAGGGAGAGAGAGAGAGAGAGAGAGAGAGAAGCATACATATGATGTATGTATTGTACTAGATAAATCTAGTTGTGAGTTACACTCCATGTAACATGGCCATCCTACATTCATTTTCCTTTTCACACGTGAATCCTTTGACCTCCTTGCCTGATGGCTTAAGGGGAGGGTTTCTTGAAGCCAATACCGGCGCGCTACGCGCTTGTGAAAAAGCGCCGCTTCGCATTGCCTTCGCCTACTTCGTGTGAGGTGGAGTGGGACTTTGGTTGAGCAGTTGCCATTGTCTTTGCATTGGTAGCGCAGCTCTTCTACGACCAGACCTTTGAAGAGCTCTACTGCATCCTGCTGACTTTGAACTACCGTTCTTGCAACTTTGGTTTTAGCCTTTCTTGGTCATCGAGCAGGTGCCTGAATTCGAAGAGGTGATCCTCGCTGAAGGCGACGATGTCTAGCACTGCTGCTTCTTCAGCTCCAGATGGGGCGAATCAACGTGACTCTTGGATCCCTGTGTTTTCGGGGCAACCTAGTGACTACAAGGAATGGAGGAAAAGAATCACCCTGTACCACCAAAAGATGGTTCTTGGGAAACGACGTGGTGAAGCAATTCTCAATATAGTTGGTTCTTTGACGGGAACAGCATGGAGGTTGGTTGAGGATTTTGATGTATCAAAAGCCGAAGATGAGTCATCATTTGCAGAGCTGTTGAAACTGTTGGGCGGTCATTTTCAATATGATGATAGAGTTCAACTCCCAGCGGACTTTGATGGCTATTTTGGTTTGAGCCGGAAGCCCAACCAGACCCTTTTGAGTTTTGTTTCCGACCATGATGAATGCCACCGTAAGTTGGAAAAGCACAATGTGTCCCTGCCAGATGCCGTGCAAGGCTGGCACTTGTTGCGCAAAGCCAACCTGACCAAGGAGCAGAGACAGTTGGTGACTTTGAGGGCGCCAAAAATGGAGCGCCAGAAGGTTATTGAGGCCCTTTACCTGCTGCTTGGACAGGACTACAAAGCTTCTCATGGTGGACATGGACACCACAAGCCGTTCCACAAAACCTATAAGTACCGTGGCTATGCAGCTCAGGACTACGAGACCGACGAGACCTTCGACCAGATCGATGCTGATGGGTACTCCGAGTGGGCTGATGATGGTGCCTACTATGGGGATGATGGACATGAGGTTGGCTATGATGATTGGGACGAAGCTTCAAACTTCGATGCCAATGCCGCCTACTACCAGCACGAGCATGAGGAGGATGCCACAGACGACAGCCAATGGCAGGACGTCGATGTGTATGACGAGGCCTACGCTGCATACCTCGACGCGCGCAAGCGCTTCACAGACCTTCGCCTCTCTAGAGGGTACCTGCCGATTGTCGCCCTGGGCGATCCTGCAGCTGGTAACATCAGCCCTGGCATCACTTCGCCGACCTCGAGCCCTACGTCCACGAAGGGTCGCAAAGGATCTCCGAAGGGGAAATCAAAAGGTGGATCTCCAAAGGGGAAGCCCAACAACTATAAGTTCCAGCCAGCACCAATGAAGCAGGCCGAGCCGAAAGCCCGTGCCAAAGCTGCCCTACGTTGCTTACGATGTGGCCAGCCTGGACACTTTGCTGCCAACTGTCCAGTGCCCTCGAAAGCTGCTGGAACCAAACGTCCAGCCCCTGCCACTGAAAGTGTGGCCATGTTGGAGGTCGCCCATGTGACTTTTCAAGATGGAGGTGGTCACGAAAGACATGATGTGGCTATGTTGGATCCGGGCGCATCTGCGTTTTTGTGCGGATACGGCCCCGCTCGCCGATACCTCAACCACTTGGCCACCAACGGCTACCCCATCGACCAGATCCAGTTCTACAGCTGCCGACACAAATTTCACTTTGGTGGTGATGGTGAGAGTTGGTGCCATTGGATCATGGAGATGCCAATGTGCGTGGCAGGATCTCACGGCAGAGCTCAAGTTTTTCTCCTGAAGGGCGAAACGCCGATGCTATGTGGCCGACCAATCATTGAAGCATTGGGGCTGGTGATGGACTTTTCTCGCCGCCAAGTCAAGCTCCGAGATGCGCCTTGGAGGGACGCCACAATAGGGCTTCATGGAGAATATCTCCTACCTCTCTGGGAACCTGATCAACCTTTTGACTTTCAGAGGTCTGTGGACTTGGACTTTGACCTCAGGTTGACCCCAGATGGTGGTGTAGATCCAATGGGAATCTCCCTTGAGCAGTTCGAGAAGGAGGAGACAGCCTTTGCCATGGCTGATGAGCCACTGCCTGATGCCCCAGACCCTGCTGAATCCCGACTTCATCGACATCAACTGCGAACGATGGAAGAGATGCTCCTGGCTGAACACAACCAGTACCATGCCTACATCACCGACGAGTTGCACAAACCGCCAAGACGACGGGTGGTGTGGGAGGTCTACACAGGCCTCGGCAGAGTTTCTGCCATCGCTGAAAGCCTTGGAGCTGATGTCGAAGTCTTCTCACTGGAGACGACTGGATGGAACTTTGATGAGCCATCCCACCGACGCCAATTTTTGGCGAGACTTGATGCTGAAGTACCAGATGAGCTTTGGCTGGCACCAGTTTGCAAGTACTGGAGCCCTATGCAGTCGCTTGCTGCCCGGACTGCAGAACAGCAGGAAGAGCTTCAAGGTCTTCGAGAATGGCATCATGCCACCCACTTGAAGTTCAACCAGAAGGCCTATGAGACCCAGGTGAAAAATGGAGCTCACGCTCATTTGGAGCAACCTGCTGGAGCGCTCTCTTGGCGCACAACTGCCTTGAGCAAGTTGCCTGGCTACAAGGCACGCTTCGACCAATGCCGCTACGGAGCCCAATGCCTTGACACTGATGATGAATGGAAGCCTGCCAAGAAGCCCACTTGCGTGCAGACCACCAAGAGAGCCATGTTCAATCAACTTCAACTTCAATGCCAAGGAGACCATGAACACTGTCCCTTGGAAGGTTCCTCAAGGATGACGGGACTTCGCACCCGCTACATGGAAAACTACCAACCTGGACTTGCTGGAGTGATTGCTGCGGCACTCTTGGCTGACGAAGTGCCGACAGTTTTGGACTTTGCTGGCGCTGTCAATGAGGAGCGCACTCATACAGGAGAATTGGTGAAATTGCTGGCTGCGAACAGACAAGATGCAGTTCGCATGGTTCAAAGGCTCCATCGAAACCTCGGTCATCCCGAGACCTCAGCCTTGGTGGAGTTGCTTGCCAGCCGTGGTGCTTCTGAGACGGTGTTGGAAGTTGCTCGCAACTACCACTGTGCAGCCTGCAGCCGATACAAAAAGCCCAATTCACCTTCGCCTGCTTCCTTGCAGTTTGCCAAGAAGTTCAACGATGTGGTTCAAGCTGATGTGATGTGGATAAAAATTGGTCCCCAGAAGGTACCAGTACTCCATGTGGTTGACATAGCTTCAAAGTTCGAGGAAGCTACTGTGGTCCACAGCGAGAAAACGAATGACCTCAGGCGAGCCCTTGAACGAAGATGGTTTCGCATCTTTGGAGCTCCCGGTGAATTGGTCACCGATGAGGGACGTGGATGGGCATCTGATGAGATGAAGGAGTTTCTTTCTGATTTGGGCATCGCCCATACGATGGCCCCTGGTGAAGCTCACACCAGACTCGGTGCAGTTGAGCGCCGCCACCAGCTGCTTCGAAAATCCATCGAGATCTACATGCACGACCGTGGACTCGATAGCAAGGATGGCATCAAGACGGCCTTGTCCTACATCATCCCCCAGATCAACTCATCGTGCACGGTTGCTGGATTTTCGCCGGCACAATGGGTCCTGGGATACCAGCCTGGATTTGCTGGCGATCTTCTCTCAGAGAACTTGACGCCATCGCAGCTGGGTGGATCTCCGACCTTCGAGGAGATGTTGGCCAACAGGACAGCTGCCAAAGTCGCCCTGGTGAGAGCCGATCAAGATCAGAAGCTCCGACGAGCCCTTCTGCGACGCTATGCAGGTGTCAACATACCACTCCAAGCTGGCCAGATCTGTTACTACTGGCGTGACGCCAGAGCAGCTGATCTTTGCAAGATCAGATGGCTTGGTCCTGCTCGGGTCATCTTACGTGAAGACGATGATGCCGGAAAACCCTTGCAGTACTGGATAGCCCATGGGAGTCAACTTCTCAGGTGCGCACCACACCATGTTCGCCCTGATTACAACACCGCAGCCAACACTGCTGTGGGTGATGTTGCGGCAGCCCGCAAAGCTGTTGCTGAACTGAAGTCAAGAGGAGTTACCAGGTTCTTGGACTTGAACAAGGCCAACAAGCGGAACTATGATGAGGTGAGTTCCGATGACGAGGCCATGGATGATGATGGAGAGATGGACAACCACCTCGACTTCGAGCACGGTTGGAGCCTTTCACACCTTCCACTCCAGTTCCTCATGCTGAAGGTTTGGACTTGGATTTGACCGACGGCATTGAGGACCCGGCCTCTCCCCGTGCTCCATCTCAAGCTCCATCCAATTCCTACGAACCGACCACTCCTGCAGAATCAGTTCATGGACTTCCTGCGGAAGAATCTCCGAATGATGAAACTCCAACAATGCCACCGCCGACGGTGCCAACTTTGCCTATGACATCACCGACATTGCCTGTGTCAAATGGTGATGAGCCTGAGCCCAGTGGTGAACCCTCAGCACCGCCTTCGGTGCGAGCTGCGCAACTTGGTGATGACTTGCCAATGTTGCTGGAGCCCCCCACAACTGGTGGACCAAGGGTGCCTATGGATTTTCCGGAGTTGGACTTACCTCCGAGGGCCCCTGCTCCCGTGCGGCCTGTCCAGGTCCCGTTTTTGGACCCGGCTGTTGCAGCTCTGTATGCCCCTGCTGGCAACGAGGACTTCCTTGCTCAGCGCCGTCGCCAAGAACGACAAGAGACGGCGATTTTTGGAAGCCGACCCAATCCACTGAGGACTCAGGAGAGATCAACTCCTTACAGCCGACCTGATCGAGCTGAAGATGATGCAAACTTCTCTCGAGTTTATGATGTTCATGAGGTCGATACGACCCAACTTCCTTCTGGCTGGTCTATGACATCAGATGGCTTCTTCGAGCTCACCGATCGACCTGCCGATTTTTGGGAAGTTCGAGCTGGATGTCTCCTATGACACCATGTGATGCCCCGCCATACAACTGTTGATGTCTCCAAGCACGCTGACGTGCCCATTGACCCACAGTACCTTGACCCTGTGCGTGTCACTGTGATGAAGGAGCCTGACGGCAACATCAACATTGTGCACGATGATGGCGTCCACAACAAGTCCAACAAGCTTGCCTGGACGGGTGTCACGATCTTTCAGATCTCTGGGCCAGTTCGCAAAGAACTTGGAATGTCTGCCTGTTTCTTTGCCAAGAAGGTGGCTCGAGAAGTTCGCACCAAGATGATGCGTCAACAGAACAAGGGACGCAAGACTGTCACCGAGCGCCACCTGACTGCTGACCAGAAAGCCTTGTTTCAAGAGGCCAAATGTAAGGAGCTGAGATCTTTCTTTGAAAACAATGTTTGGGAATTCAGCACTGCCGCTGAAGCTGATGAGGCCAGAACTATGAAAGCCCGCATGTTGCTGACATGGAGCAAACATGCTGATGGCAGTCCACGTGCCAAAGCACGACTGATCGTGCAGGGCTACTCCGACTTTGATGCCCTCAACACCGGCCTCGAAACAACCAGTCCAACAACCAGCCGGCTGAGCCGAAATGTGATGTTGTCGCTGACCGCCTGTCTTGGCTGGAAATGGTGGTCCTCCGACATCTCCACTGCCTTCTTGCAGGGCCTGCCACAGTCCCGCAAACTTTGGGTGAAGCTGCCAGCAGAGTGTCTCCAGCTGTTAGGCTGCAGCGACGACACCAGAATGCTGTTGTTGAAGCCGTGTTATGGCCAACTTGATGCTCCCCGCCGTTGGTATTTGGAGGCGAAACGGAGACTCACTTCCTTGAAGCTCAAGCCTCACATGCTGGATCCTTGCTGCTTTTTGATTTTTGAGGATGCCTTCCCTGAAATCCAACAACAAGGACTTGGGCATGGAGAACATGGTTTGGTTGGTATGATATGTTTACATGTCGATGACATGTTAGGCGCTGGACTGGAACAAAGCTTGGTATATCAACATGTGATTGCTGAGTTGAAGAAAAGTTTTTCTTTTCGTGAATGGAAAGATGGAAATGAATTGGAATACTGCGGAGCTGAGCTGAAAAAGACCAACGATGGTGTCCTGCAACTTCACCATGGAAGTTACCTCAAGAAGGTCAAGCCGATGACCTTGCCAAAACATGTTGGTCCTGAGAAAGAGCTGTCTGGCTCTGAAGTTTCAGCTTTGCGTGGCCTTATGGGCAGTTTGTCATGGCCCGCAGTCCAGTCGTCTCCACACCTTCAAGCGAGCACATCAATGTTAGCTGGTGATGTATCAAAGGGTTTAGCTTCCACAGTTTTTGAAGCCAATCGCCTGTTGAAGTTCGCGAAGCTCAACAGTGACATCGGGCTCACCTATGCCCCACTTGGTGATTTGGCTGACTGTAGGTTGGTGACCGCTTTTGATGCCTCTTTTTGCAGCCGCTCCGATGGAAGCTCTCAAGGTGGTTTTATGATTTTGTTGGCCCCCAAGAAAAATCTTGGAGACGGACGAAGACATTTACCATGTCTGGGACTGGCGTAGCTTTAAACTACCCCGTGTGGCCCGAAGCTCACTTTCTGCAGAGGCCCAAGCTGCTGGCTGTGCAAGCGATGCTTTGGAGTTTGCTTGCAGGTACTACGAACATCTGGTTCGACCTGGTTTGACTTTGGCTGAACTTTTGAAGGTTCAATCTTCTTTGGCTCCGGCGATGATCACCGATGCCAAGTGCCTCTTTGACTCTTACCACAAGGAGTCGATGTCTGCTGTTGATCGACGTTCTGGTTTGGAGATCAGGGTTGTGAAGGAGCAGTTGGAAGGCCTTGGTGGTCGTTTGCTTTGGGTTTCCAGCGAGCGACAGCTTGCGGATGGCCTTACAAAGATGTCGGTACGACAAACCTTTGCCGACAAGCTGAGGCATGGTCGAGTGAAATTTTTGTTTGACCCGCAGTACATCGCGGCCAAGAAGAAATCCCTCAGTGAGCGCCAAGCGGAAGCTCAAAAGTCATCCAAAACTCCTGCGTCTGTGAAGAAAGCCAAGGTGATTGACTTGGACCCCATTCCTGAAGAGTACGAAGTTTCTGAGGAACACCTGGTCCATGATGAGATCGAGTTCCTTGGATCCAATGAAGTTTCTGTGGATGCCGAAGCTTTTGCAGAGCATGCGGCCCCTGATGATGAAGACACCCTACAGTATGTGGAAATCCCTGAAGAGATTGCAGCTTGTGCCGAGGACGAAATTCCTGCGATTGAGTGCTTTGCTCAGTCCGACGACGTCCTTGTGTATGTCAACGCCCGGCGCCATGTCGTGCCTGAGTATCAGATCACGGTCCTCCTGATGTATGTGTTCAAGACACTGCTGTTTTTCTGGACCCTTGCAGGTCTCCCTCTGGCCCATGGTGCAAGCACCGAGGTATGTTTCACTTCTGGAAACCATGCTGCGCTGACGGGTTCTAACAACAACCTGAACTGGTCAGTGGTTGCAGTTTTTCTGGTATGTGCCATTTTGGCAATTTTGTTTTTCTGCTGGATGCGTCGTGACCGACGCCTGTTGGAACAAGACCTACGAGGAACACAGTTTTCACTGGATCAAGCACGGACAGAGATAGCCCGCTTGCGAGCGATGCTGGATGAGACTGGTCTGCGCAGTCAACAAGCGCAGTATCAACGAGATGGAATCAACAGAAGAGCGAATGCCCTGTCCATCATGTATGACGAGCTTCACTCTGCATTTGTTCGCCGATCAGCCGCCTATGATCGTGCGAGACGTGCCTACCAGGATTCCCAGACAGCTGCCCGACAGTACCATGCTGCCCTTCAAGTTGCGGCGAGGGATATGGGTCAGGGCTACCAGGCCATCTTGGACCTCAATGCCCACCATGCTGTTTGTCCTATGGGTGATGATGTTTACATCCAACTGGGCTCAGGGATGTGGCACGCAAATGAAGAATGCGACGAGTTATACAACTCTGGCCATGAAATTCAGACATATAGGTTTTGCCCAATTTGTGCCCAACAGAATTTGCAAGTGATGGATGAGGATGAGCCACGTCATTTTGACGAGCATGGAGTTAGGGTTGTGAACGCCCCCACCTGGATGGATTTCACTTAATTGTTTCCCCCTGTGTGAGTTACACTCCATGTAACATGGCCATCCTACATTCATTTTCCTTTTCACACGTGAATCCTTTGACCTCCTTGCCTGATGGCTTAAGGGGAGGGTTTCTTGAAGCCAATACCGGCGCGCTACGCGCTTGTGAAAAAGCGCCGCTTCGCATTGCCTTCGCCTACTTCGTGTGAGGTGGAGTGGGACTTTGGTTGAGCAGTTGCCATTGTCTTTGCACTAGTAATTAATGAGAAAGGGGATTGATAAGAATGAGAATCACAATCGTCGTAATCATCACCACGACCATCATCAGCATTACCAGGCTTCCAACACAAACAATGAGCTCTTGATTACAAACTGCTGATGGTAACTCTGAGCTGCAAGGCGATGGAACTTCCAATGTGGGGTTCCTTCCAACACCCATCTGGAAGATCACATCGGACTGACGCGATGCCGGGTTGATGGCCCCGGAAGTTGGAAATGCTCTGATCCGAACAAGTTGGACCCAGGTTGCTTCTTTCGCATTTGAACCATTGCCCCCTCAGTTTGGAAGTAAACTCCCTAGTGCCATGCTCATACTAATTCCCAGCAAAGGCCAGAAAACCAGAACTCCTCTTGCAGCTTCTTTCAGTTTGCTTTAGAATCTTGATATATTATATTTTGATATATCTGATATATCTTGATTTGCAGGCGCCGCCTGACCACACTGCTGCGAGACTGGCATGATGGCCAGCTGGTTTGACGGTTGCAAGCCATTGCCAGTGATCTCCACCTGCTAGCGCTGGCCAATGGTTTTTTTTTGTAAACAATGTATGCCTGTGTATACAAACATATATATATATATGCATATATATATATATATGCATATATATATATGCATATATATATATATCCGTGTGTAAACCAATCTCTCAAATCCAACATTTTCCCTTTCCATTCAAACGCTCCGTGGACAATGCTGACTGAAAGAAACATCAAATCAAGGATATCCGATGTCCATCCGATGTACCTCACACGGGAAGCCGTTGGTGCACTTTCCGGAGTGTCCAGGATTTGGACCTACAGAACATTGAATGTCCAGCCCGTACAAGATTCCCTCGCATTCGACGGACAGATCCCACTTGTTCTCGTAAACTGTGCCGCGACAGGCAAATCCCGTACACAAGTGAGCTCTGTCTTAGCGCTGTACCAACTTGTCTGAAAATCAGACGCAAACGCTGGTTGCCAGAGTCTGCAACATAGAGATCCTGGAACGCTTGGAAAGTCTTGGAATACTCCCAACTAGGTCACTGATCTACTTTTTCACAGATGTGACGACTACTTCCTATTAGATCAGGCAAGAGTTCTGAAAAGCAAGAACGTCAAGAACTACAATTCTTTCATTTTGGGAAAACCTCACAATTGCAAGAAATGACACGGTGTCCACAACGAGTCCGCAAGCAACTTGGAATAACTTGGAATCTCAACTCCCTCCTTGGTCAGCGGGTGAATACCCAGACCACTTGGCCTCAGCTCCGAGTCGTTCTAGATCCGGATCCGTTATCTGCTCAAGACGGCAATGAAAACCTTTCATGAACTTCATGATGAGACTTCCTTTTACGTCTTTTACACTCTCTGATTCTGGTGTTTGTCATTGATCAAATCTCATGATCTCAGCTTGTATATCAACAATCATGATCAATGTTGACATCCACTTTGCATCAAGCAGCTTTCACTGCCCTAGGCATCTGCACAGAAAACTGTGAGTGCATCTCAAAATGCTGAATCGAACCATGCTAAAAACATTCAATGTCGCACAAAAGCCACTGACCACCACAATTTCTTTTTTGAACTTTGCACACGCTGAACTACCATAAGCCAAGGCACCTGTTGAGTTCAGTTACCCATGCAGTGCCTGGTGAAGCAATCTTTTCCACACTGAACACTCCACCAGGAGAATCCAACACTAAAGTGCTAAAGTTCACTCTCCCAGAATTCCATACTAGCAGGCTGACCCTGGATGTGACCAAGACTAGCAAGCAGTTCCAATGGCTTTGCACACGTGTGCATGATTTTTTACAAGTTGTCCTACAATGGATTGTATATGTTGTACATTCACTATGTTAATCTATGTTATATCTATGTATATATATATACATATATACAATATCACATGTATTATAAAACATCTTGTAAACACGTTGGTCTTTTCTGTCTCCGAGATCCACAGCCCGATTTGCACCTTGGTCTCCAGAGAAACCAGGCTGACTCTGCCGGCCAGCAATGACGTAGATCTCAGCATGGCAAAATTGAAGGCGACCCTGACCCTGAAAACATGAGAAAACATGATTTTCAATACGAAGCATGATGAAGCATTGTGTCAATTAAATACAATTAACACATTCAGAATTGTTCAGAACTATGAGCAAATGCTTGATGTGGGCAATTATTTCAGAGTTGAGTCTTGGAGAAGTAGAGTTTTCTCCATGTACCACCTCGACCTGCTGTGGGCTCCGACCAATCCTTGCTGCTGGGTCATCATCCCAGACCGGGCAAACCTGACAAATGACACAAATGACAAACTCGGGAGAGACGGATCCGTTGCGGATCCGTTGCGGATCCAACGGATGTGACCGTTGACGAAACTTGAAGGTCACAGTTGGAAAGGAGCTGAGCAAGCTGGAACTATCATGAACTAACTATCCCATAATTATACACATATATATATATATACATATTATTATATAAATCATAAATATGAAACTCTTCTGAAAATATTCTTAGTTTCGCACCTGTAGACCGAATTGTCACGTGCACCGCCCTTGCCCTCGGAGCAGGATGTAGAGGAACCCTCAAACCTCAGCAGTGCTGGAGCTGTTCAAGTCATGGCATGAAAACATATGAAAACACTGACATGTTGTCTCGATAAGTTTCCATGTCAACATCGTTCCACCATATCCGTGACCATCGCCAAGGTGCCGAAAGTAGAGATGAGCATCTTTGGAGGTCGCACAAACTCCCATCTGACGGATTGCAAAGACCTCATAGCCCAGTCGCAAAGTTGCCATGGCACACCTGAGATCGGCAAAAGCTGGTGCTCACAACACCTTTAAGGAATATCAATTTGACTCCCTTTATCAGGATGTTCAATGCCCCGAAAGCCTGATTTTGACTCAAGCAGATCACGTTCGATTGGAGAATCTACAAACCAATTCATATATCAATAGCACTCGATAGCACTCGCACACCAAAGAAAAAGCTCATAGACAAGCAGTACAGACAGTGAATCCCTCAGCTGTTGACAAAGCAGTGCATCCCTCTCCACCAAGCTACGCTGTAATGGCATCTGGCCGATTCTCAGGAACACCAGTGAGGTAGTTGATCCCCCAGGGCAAAGATTCTCCTGTGTCGCAAGTTCAAGTAGTATCAAGTAGTTTGAGTCTGATTGAGTCTGATTGAGATGATGTCTTGGCTTCAAACTTGGTCTTGAGCTTTTATGTGGTTAGAACATTTCAATGGTCTCCAATTCCCCGCCAAAAAAAACGGGCTTGTAGAGCTTGGAGGTAACCGTGTTTGTTTGCTACTTGGGTATGTTGTACATCAAGTGTACAAACGAGACATTCCTTCAAGCATTCGAGTCGGTTTCGTTCGTCCTTCAATGCTGGGTATCCAAGGAGACTCAATGTTCTCGCGCCAACATCCCATCGAGACATACTCCAGTGCTGGCCTTGACAGAACCAGTGCCCATTGGAAGGGTGAGCAATGGGTCTGATGGAATGCGCAGCACCACTCGGCTGCAAGAAAGGATCGAAAAGGTCAGAGCTCCCGTGACTTGCTCTGGAGCTCCCTTGATCTACGCATCTACTGCGCTCCACAACTCCCAACTGGTCCCCAGTCCCAACTGCTGCTGAAGCACATCATCAGCAGCCGATGATTCAAAGAGTCACTCACGTAGACCAGTCCTACTCAAGGTTCCAGCACAACAAAGCGACACGGTGACACGGCTAGTTCTGCATATGCTGCATATGCACCAAAAGCTCAAAGTTCATCATAGTTGAGAAGAAATACGTAGCGACGTAGTACTCTTACGACTAACGACCACTGTTCCTGTGCAACAGCTCTCCTTCATCTGCAGCCACACCTGATGGCTCATTCAGCCGTGCCAACGGAGCTTCTAATGGCGAGGCTTCCTTGGTGGAGTTGCCCCGCTGTCCGGTGCCTGCCAGCCTCGGTTTGCTGCACTGTCCATGCACCACCTGCTCAAACAAGCTTTTTGACTCTGTCAACTTCATCATGCTTCATCAGCCTTGATATGCCTTGATATTTCTTGACATGCCTTGATATTGGAGAGCAGGAGTAGGGTCCATGGCCAGCTAGAGCATAAGGCTGCACATACCAAAGCACAAGGAGCATCTACATGGTAATTGGAGCTGAAGCCATTGTCTTTTGACACAGCAAAGGTCAAACAGAGCGCATGGAACCAGGCTGGCAAAATGGAGCCGAAGTTCTATGGGAAGGCAGTGAAAGTGTCCAAGTCCAAGTCACGTGTTGATGACACCCAGGTAGCTCTGGAACTCCAAAGACATGGTTCTCACTTGGTGTCCGCCTGCTTCTGTGATGTAGACGTTCACGGGTAATGTACCCTCCTGTCAATGCTGGCGCCGTGAAAAAAACAACAGATATTTCTTTGCGTCAAAAACGAGGAACAGAAATAGGAAAGGAATCTGTATCTGGATTTCTTGTGCATTTCAGATTGCAGTCTCAAAGGGATTGGAAAACCAGACCTTACCAGACTCGACAAATTTGATAATGGTCAGCAGCTTCACAGATGGCTTTAATGATGCAAAAAATGCTAAAAGGGGAAGACGAAATTAAAACCTAAGTAGACTCAAAGACTAAGTCAAAACTTAAAGATGTTTAAAGGCCGAAAACTTATCCAACGACACAACGGGCGGAGCAAATGACAACGACAACGACGACAAAAAACACGATACGACCCGCCGCCACCCGTGTCCTCTGTGCTGATGAAGGCGGAGGACACAGCCACGCCCCAAGGCGACTGCGGTTTGATGTTTCAGAGGTTTACCAAAAACAAACCAAATTCGAAACCAAATTCGAAACCGAATATGTTTGAATATCAAGCAGCATTCAGTAAAGATGTCTGGCTACAGGTGCTACAGGTGCTACAGCAGAATAGAGCAAGCCAGGCTGTGTGATGGTGTGTGTGTGTGTCTTTTGTGATAAGAGGAGCCTTTCATCATTTGTTCTATTGCATGACACCAGCATACAGCTGCATACTCATGCTGCTTCTCATGGCATTTTTGAGAAGTCCATCATGCTTTTTGAATTTAGTGACACTGGAAGTAAACGCTTTCAACCATAATACAATGGTCTTCGATCATCGAAAGGAAGTGGGCCATGTCACCAGGCAAACCGGGCAGCGAAGTCCCGGTACCTCCATCCGCGCCAACCAGGCAACACCGCCATCACCTTTGGTCGTCTGCCCAGTCGCACCACCTTGAGGCGGTGACATGTACCACCGTGACTTCACTGAGACTGTGCTGCGAAGCTGTTACTTTCAAGACCTTTGAAGTGCGAACAGAACGTGTGAGATTTTGGACATGGTAAATGCGGGAAATGAGAAGACGATAGAAGATGTCCTAGCTACCGTGCTACAATGTAGCCGTTCGAAATCACAAAAGATCCTTCACCACCCTGCGCCCCACTGCCGCCTGCAGCTGTGAGGATAATGTTCCTTTGAAACTCATTGGTGCCTCGTCGCGCAGTGAACCAAAACTGTACTCAGCGAGTTACATCACAGCCCCACCCTTACCCTGCCGAGCCTCTGTCAGGTTGACGGATGTTTGGATAACAGGTTGACAACAGGAAACTGACCAAGTTTGGAATTTTTAATGCATTTGACATCATTTGACAGACGGGACAAGGCAAGGAGATGATGTTGAGGCTACAGGCGGTTAAAGGCGCAAATCCAAATCCCACATGGCAATTGAATGTGTCCCATTTCCAGAGACAGCACATCGGAGTCTTTGCACACCACCCCAAACAGGTTGGACGTCTCTTTGCCAAGCCATGACAGGGATGAAACGCGTGGAACGAACCAAGGACTACGTGGAAGGCAGTTGCTTTGAAAGGTCTGAAATGCGCTAGCTACATCAGATTCAACAGTCAGAGATCCTTAATCACCAGAGATCTCAGTCTAGAAATCAATCTTAATCAGTTCCTTGGCCATATTTGGCCATATATCCCAACTCTCTGTTGTATTCTCAACTACCCTCCGGGTTGTACCGTCACAATAACTGTCACGCCTGGAATCCTCACAGGAATCTCCATCGACACCACCCGCAGCACATTGTTACCGCTGTCGCCTTGGGGAAATGTCGACGTGGCCCAATGGCTACGACAAAGTGAAGACTAACGAGCTGAAAACAATCTGAAACAAATGCAGCTGGATGCAGCTGGGGAGCAAATCCAAAGCATTTGATTCCTCAGCTACAATAAAGGTTGTATCCACTGCAACTGCCTTCAAACATTGTGCACACATGGCCACTGTAGACTCCACATCTGTTGGGACGAGGCAAGTCCCTTAACACGCCAACACCGATTCGCTTCACACGAGTCCGTTACAGAGTTACTGACACTGTCTGCTTTGAATATTTTGAATGCTTGGCACTCTGACCCTGTCTCTCTTTTGTGATAGTCTCTTCATGTCTCTTCGACTCTTCTGAGATCTTCTGAGATGTTTCTTCTGTTTTTCTCTTCTTTTCTGTCCGAGGCACAGGTCCACCGCCACACCGGTGGGACTGTCGAGCTGCGCTTCGATCGCAGGTTGACCATCGCCTCCCCGGCCTTTGAACCCGTTGCCTGCAACGGTCTCGATGATGCCTCACAGCCGCCAAACTCGTGCCCTCCCGTGCCGTGCCAAGTATGGGAAGAAAATTATCGAAGAAAGTAAGGTTCTCAACTTGAAATGTGAACGATGTGAAGGATGTGAAGGATGTGAACGATGTGAACAGTGTGAACGACTACAGGCTGTATCTCAAATTTCAACATCTTCATAACAAGTTATAACTATTATAACTATAACAATAGTTGCAAGATGTTGCAAGCATTTGTGGCACATCAAAGTTGCGGCGCCTGTATTCAAAGGCGTCTGCTCCAGGTTGATCCGTCGCACACGGTGACTGCCAAAGTCTGCCAGGTACAGAAACCTGGAAACAAGCGGGGAGGCCTGGAAGATCCTGGAAGATCCTGGAAGATCGAAGGCTAGTTACGGCTAGTTGAACAGTTCGATCTCTATCACTTTTGCTCATGTTGCAGCTTTTCACATCTTTCAGATCCTTTTAGCATCTTTTAGCACCTGTTCCTTTTGTACTTTTCGCTGATCGGCAGGCTTGACGTCGAAAATCGCCGAGGGACTTCTGGTCTTTGTCCAAAGCAAGGCCGCTGGGCTCCCAAAGCTCTGCATTGTACGCAGGTTGGTAGTCACCTACCGCGACCACGACATGTCACGACATGTCACGACATGTCAGGACATTGGACCATCCCCTACCATTCGAGTACCTAGACACCGAAGCGAACACAGTGCTAGGTTGGAAGCATTCATGAACTTCTGACGGATTCCGTTCACCAAGCACGATTACTCACAGCCATAGCCTCGCAACCCGGCATAAAACTTGCCAGCAAGGGTGTAGACTCTGCCTGTTGCCGAACACTGCGGATAGGTGACCCGGTCGGTGTCCTTCCGTCTGAGTACAATAAAATGACCTGCAAATATCGTTCTGGTGGTTCTGTATAAAGCATCAAACAAAATACGAAGGATTTCGATGTAGAGAACGTGGATTCGACCTGGTTCTGGTCACCTTTGCTTGACATTGCTTCACCGAATTGAAGGCTCGGAGCATCGACAGAATCATACAGAATCTACATTGTACATTGTGAATTCTAATGAATTCTATCTATCTGAATCTATCTGAATCTATGGTCACTTTTGGTGACCTGTGCCGCATCTTAATGGACGTGCCTTGCTCGATGTCCATATATCGAATCATATGAGTCGATCTCTCGCTGAAGAAAACGTGTGTGTCGGACACTGCTATTCCTCACAGGCAGCACAAGCAGCAAAGAGCTTCTTGATGCTTCTTGTTGTTTCTTGCTCTTCAAATCTTTTTCCATGTTCTGTACCCTTGTTCATCCTTGTTCAATGCTACAACAAAGAGTAACAAAGCCAGAGCGTAATGTTAGGGCCAGTGTTTCTCCATGCTCAAGGCTCCGTAAGGCTCTGAGAGAGGTGAGTTGTACCCAGGATCACCATCCTTAGGATCCCGACAAGTTTGACAAAGTTTCAACGCAACGCGAGAGCCGGACTAGTGCGAGGAATGCGAGGAAGTGTTCTCTTCAAATTGAAACGACGAATGGATACTAAGTTACTAATGGAGTGGAAGACATGTCCAAAACTTGCATGAAACTGGATCCGCATGGATGCAGCATGGATGCAGCATGGATGCAGCATGGATGCAGGGATGCTCTCCACATGAAGTTCTGCCTGGTCTCAATCATATCAGACGTACGATTTGGGGTTCGCCCATCGCCTGCCACTGTCAGCATCATGCCATTGATGATCAACGTGGCCACGTGCATGGAGTAGTGCTCATCTTCCAGGCAGCCACCATCTCCACCACACCAACATACTTTGTACATACCCATTCCTTGGCTCAGTCTAGGTTCAGTCTTGGAGTCTTGGTTCAGTTCGAAAGTTCATCGGCTTCTTCGTCTTGGTTCATCTTGGTTCATCTCGGATCCACTGACCTTCCTAGCATTTTACGGCTCATATTGCGCTAACATGGCATAAATGCTAGCTGTTTCGCTGCTTCATCTGAAATTCTGAACACATCGTCCCAAGATGGTGAGCTCGGTGAGCTAACAAAATGTAGTTTAGTGAGTTTAGTGACAAAACAATGCAATCTTATGTGACTTATGTGGTTTAGTCTTGCCAGCGTAGAAGTCTCTGTGAATTCTGCAGACTACCAGCTATCACACTCTGTGCACGGTTCAAGCATGGTTCAGGCGGAATCCTACATTGCTTAATGACAGCTTAATGCATTGTTTATCGGCAAAATGCATTGCTTGCATGGCTTAAGGTTGCACTTTCCGAGATTCGATTCACTTGAATATTTTCCCATGTCTCTTCGTTGTAGTTGCCATGTGCACCTTGGAGCAGGCTGTTGTGTCTTGTGCTCAGAGCGGCTGGTGAAGGGACCTGTCTTGCACTTGTGGAACTCACAGATTCGCAGTGTGGAATCCAATGGTAAGAATTTATGCGACTTAAGAAAATGAGAATATATTATGAGAATATATGAGAATATATGAGAATATATGAGAATACATGAGAATATGAGATTCACATGAAATGACAACAGAAGCCAAGCTACGTGAGCCGCTTGGAGATGTCAGCACCAAGACTGATGAATGCATCGTTGAAGAGCCCGTCAGACCACAAAGAACGGTGTCCGGAACAATCCGAATGCGGTCTTCCGCAGATAGAGCTACTCCTAGGATTCAACACGCCAGCTGTGCAGTGATGCAGTGATGCAGTGTCCATCTGATCGGTATGAACAAAATGTGCAAGCCACAGAGGTAGGTGATCACACGGGTCTTTGCTGTATAACTGGTACAACTCAAGACGAGTTACATTATGAGTTTCATGACTTGAGTCATTATGACTCGCCTACAAAAGCAATCCCGGCAAACCCGAAGGACTTTAGCTGATCAGCCTGCCTTCCAACTGCAAATTCCACATCCCGCCAGCTGTCTGTAGGATGTGCTTGTTGCCGGTCGGCCCCTGGAACTTGGTTCTGAGGGTTCGAGGACGAGGCAAGGTGTATTTGAGGTTTTCTTGGATCACAAGAATCAATCCAATACCAAAAGGCCCCGGTCGTGACAATTCACAATTCATACTGTGCATGTTGAGGCTCCCGTTCCTGCTTGACCCTACTGCACCATCCTGCTATTGTATGTGTGGTCAACCGGCAGATGTAAGACAAAAACAAACAAGACACTGCGACATGGATTTGCTCAAAAAACAGAGTGGAAGAAGCAAAGACCCTCTGGAAATTGAAAGATTCTGAAAGATGTTCCAAGCTGGAAAACCGACAACGTCCACAGGAACCTCCGGCCTTGGGGGTGACCTCAACTTCGCAAATAGACAAAGGTGCCACACGTGTGCCCCGCACCCGTAGTACCAGGTACAAGTAGCGACCTGCACGGCGCCATTTCCATCTTCATTCTACGAATTCTACGTTGGAAGTGAAAAATGTTGGTCCAGATTACATCAGATCACATCAGATTACGTCAGATTACAGTTTTCATCAATTTTCATCAATCTTCCAGTGATTCTAGTGACTGGAGTGGTTCTAGTGCAGTCGCGGCACCCGATGCTAGGCAGTTGAACATATTCGGCTGCTGTTGCTGGCTCAGGGTAACCCCCTGACGTGGCGGATTTGAAGCCGAGGGTACAAATTGGGATAGCAGGTACCAAACGGATCCAAACAGCACCAACAATTACATTTTGTCTATCTATTTGTATATATAAATATTATACTATCTATATATATATACATATGTGTGTGTATATATATTATAAATTATATACCACGCAGTGCCCGGCACGCGCCTGGCCTAAGTTTCGAAAATAGGAAATGATTATACGAAGAAGCAAACCTAGGGGAAATGTTTGTGCTGCGAACCGAAAAGAATGAAGTTTGCAATGACGGAAAAACAAAGGACATGAAAGGAGATGGAGGAAAGAAACAAATGAAAGGAAAAATGAAGGAATGAAAGGAGAAAACACTGATTCAATGAATGGACCAAACAATGAATCAACGAACCAATGAATAGATGAATTAATCATTCAATAAAAAAAATGTATAAATGAATTAATGAATCAAGACGTCGATGATTCCAGTGAATGAGTGCATCAATGCATCCATGCATCAAGGCATGAATGCACCAAAAGATCAACGAATCAATGAATCAATGCAAAAACAAGTCAACGATTCATTGAATCAATGAACCAATGAGTCAATGAATCAATGAACCCATGAACCAAAGAACCAATGAATCAATGCATCAATAAATCAAGAAATCAATGAATGAACGACGAACGAACAAATGAATGAATAAATCAACGAATCAATGAATGAACCAACGAAGGAAGGAAGGAAGGAAGCAAGGAAGGGAGGAAGGAAGGAATGAATGAACCACTGCGCGAATCAATGAATGAAAGAATGAAGGAATGAATGAATGAAGGAATGAATGACTAAATGAATGACTGACGGACTGACTGACTGAATAAATGAACTAAAGGATGAATGAAAGAATGACTGAGTAATGAAGGAAACAAGGAAGGAACGAACGAAGGAAGGAATAAATGAATGAATCAATAAATGTATCAATGAAGGAAGGAATGCATGAATCATTGAATAAATGAATCCACGAACCAATGAATGAAGGAATGAACGATTGGTTGATTGATTGATTGACTGATGGAATGAATGAATGAATGAATGAATGAATGAAGGAACGAACGAAGGAAGGAAGGAATGAAGGAATGAATGAACGAAATGAATGAATGAATGAATGAATGAATGAATGCATGAATGAATGAATGAATGAATGAATGAATGAAATGAATGCATGAATGCATGAATGCATGAATGCATGAATGCATGAATGCATGAATGCATGAATGCATGAATGCATGAATGCATGAATGCATGAATGCATGAATGCATGAATGCATGAACGAACGAACGAACGAACAAACGAACGAACAAACGAACGAACGAATAAGAACGAATAAGAACGAATAAGAATGAATAAGAATGAATAAGAATGAATAAGAATGAATAAGAATGAATAAGAATGAATAAGAATGAATAAGAATGAATAAGAATGAATAAGAATGAATAAGAATGAATAAGAATGAAAAAGAATGAATAAGAATGAAATAGAATGAATAAGAATGAAAAAGAATGAATAAGAATGAATAAGAATGAATAAGAATGAATAAGAATGAATAAGAATGAATAAGAATGAATAAGAATGAATAAGAATGAATAAGAATCAAAAGGAATGAATAAGAATGAATAAAAATGAATAAGAATGAATAAGGATGAATAAGAATGAACAAGAATGAATAAGAATGAATAAGAATGAAATAGAATGAATAAGAATGAGAAAGAATGAATAAGAATGAATAAGAAATATGACATGAATGAATAAGAATGAAAAAGAATGAAAGACATGAATGAATAAGAATGAATAAGAATGAATGACATGAATGAATGACATGAATGAATGCCATGAATGAATGACATGAATGAATGACATGAATGAATGACATGAATGAATGACATGAATGATTGACATGAATGAATGACATGAATGAATGACATGAATGGACGACATGAATGAATGACATGAATGAATGAATGAATGAATGAATGAATGAATGAACGAATGAACGAACGAATGAACGAATGAACGAACGAATGACATGAATGAAATGAATGACATGAATGAAATGAATGAATGAATGAATGAATGATTGAATGGATGAATGAATGAATGAATGAATGAATGAGTATGAATGAATGAGTATGAATGAACGAGTATGAATGAATGAATATGAATGAATGAATAAGAATGAATGAATAAGAATGAATGAATAAGAATGAATGAAAAAGAATGAATGAATAAGAATGAATGAATAAGAATGAATGGATGAATGAATGAATGAATGAATAAGAATGAATGAATGAATAAGAATGAATGAATGAATGAATGAATGAATAAGAATGAATGAATGAATGAATGAATAAGAATGAATGAATGAATGAATGAATGAAGGAAGGAATGAATGAATGAAGGAATGAATGAATGAATGAACGAATGACATGAATGAAATGAATGACATGAATGAAATGCATGAAATGCATGAAATGCATGAAATGCAATGAAATGAATGAAATGAATGAAATGAATGAAATGAATGAAATGAATGAAATGAATGAAATGAATGAAATGAATGAAATGAATGAAATGAATGAAATGAATGAATTGAATGAAATGAATGCAATGAATGAAATGAATGAAATGAATGAAATGAATGAAATGAATGAAATGAATGAAATGAATGAAATGAATGAAATGAATGAAATGAATGAAATGAATGGATGAATGAATGAAATGAAATTACTTAAACTTAATGCAATGACTTTCATCATGTCAATTGCTTCAACTTCATGCCTTCCTTCCTTCGTGAGTGCCTTTCATTCATCCTTGACTTCCTTCCATTTTCCTTCCCTTGACTTTAAATTCACTGCCATGCCTGACTTGCCTGCAATTTCCTGCCTTTCCTGTACTTTGCCTGCCGGGGGCCTGCTACTGGGCCTGCCTGGCCTGCCTGCCTGCCTGCTCCTGCCTTGCTGCCTGGCCTGCTCCCTTCCTGAATGAATGAATGAATGAATGCCATGAATGAATGCCATGAATGAATGCCATGAATGAAATGAATGAATGAATGAATGAATGAATGAATGAATGAATGCCATGAATGAATGCCATGAATGAATGAATGAATAAGAATGAATAAGAATGAATAAGAATGAATAAGAATGAATAAGAATGAATAAGAATGAATAAGAATGAATAAGAATGAATAAGAATGAATAAGAATGAATAAGAATGAATAAGAATGAATAAGAAT